AGCAAGAATTCAACACAAATACGAGTACCGCCCACAACAAATGAATTCTAAGTAATAGCAATGTTATGTCCACATCACACAAGTACCAAAGACATTGAAACGAAAGATATGTTAAGTATCAATCCAGATTTTCACCTAACATTGAAACATCCAAAATACTTGAATCTGAATTTTGAAAGTAAAGGAAGATGATAAATATTAAACTGGAACCCTAGATAATTTTTTCCCTCAACATTAGTGTTGACACGTGTAACTTTTGTATATATGCATCACTAATAGAAGATGTATACAAAAGAAAAAATTAAAATTTATGGTATGAAATTGCAGAAAGTAGAGGAAAAATATTTCCAACCATAATACATCAAAAAGTTATTCAAAACATCCAAAAAAATTTACAGGATATTAAAAGGATTTTTACCTCTTTCTAATCCAAGCTCCAACTCTTATTTTAAACCCAGCAAAAAACACCATTTTTTCACATCTTATAAACCCTTTACAAATGAAAATATTACAAAAAAATGAGTAAAAAAAACAAGATTTTTCTCTCTTGGATCAAAGCCCATAATGAGATAAATGAAAGAGAGAGAGTGAGAGAGTTAGGGTTGTTTGAATGGAGGTTGTTTGAATGAGAGAAATAGGATTCATCTTTTTTTCTTTTCTTTTTTTTTCCAACTTTTCATCCTTGACATTGACAAGATTTTTGTACAATTTCTTCCATTGGGTCAAATCTCATTTAATTAGGACATGTAGGGAATTTGAAATTATCTTTAGGGGTAAATATGTTGTAAATTGACATTCTTGCAATGTAAAAATAAAAAAATAAAAAAAAAGTGACATTTTTGTAAATGTCTTGGGAAAAATTGACATCCTCCGCAATTCCTCATGATACATTTCCAGTAGACGACATACAATAACATCTGAAGATAAAAAGTTAAATAATTAAAAACCAAAATATACTGCGGATTTTTATTTTTATTTGTTTGTTTATGAATTATCAGTCTCAAATTCTCTCTTCCATTCTACTTCACAATTCAGTGGTAATGAAATTTTAAAGTAAAACAAACACAGCATATAGACTACTACAAATAAAAAACAAACAATTCTACGTATTCAACAAAGAAACAAATTGACAAACAAAAGACGGACTACACAATTAAATGTATCAATATAAACAACTAAAAATTAAAACCTAACACCAAGTAGAAACGAAAAATATATTTTCTTTATATTTTTTCAAGTGAAAAATTATACATACAGAGTCGATAACATTAATGGCTTCATTTGAGGCAGGCGTTCCCTTCTACCAAGGCTTGGATTTTAAGGTGAAACAGTCCAAGAGCATGTTTGAGACCAAGGGCGGATTTAGGGGGGGGGGGGCAGTGGGGTCAGCTGACCCCACCCCCATTTCGGAAATTTCAAGTTTTGCCCAAAATTTTTTCAAATTTTCAAAAAAGTCCTTGTAATTTTTAAGTTTTGCCTTCATAATTAATTTTTTCGGTAATTTGCCCCCATGTCTCTCTCTGGCTGGCTTCGCCCCTGTTTGAGACCATCTTTTAAATCTTAGTAAAAAAAAGTAATTATTAATTAAAAATTGAAAAAAATTAATTTACCCAAAATTAATTTTACTGAAAGATGCGTCATTGAAAAACAAGTGGGAAGAAAAATACATTTTAAAATATGAAGCTCAAACAAGCTAGGCCCATGTTTGACTAACATTCTTTAATTTTATTTTATTTTTCAAACTCAATTTCAACTTACATAAATCAAAATTTTTTCTCGCTTTTTAATCATACATCTTTCAGCAAATCACTATTTCAAAATCTATGAACCCCAAAAATGAGGCTCAAAGAAACTCTAATTAGTGGCCGATGATTCGAAGTTCGTAGCTTCCCAGTTCAGACGATTACACAGCAAACAGTTCCGTCACACGCTTAGGTTTTACTCATAGCAGTTGAGGACTTGGGCAGCTTGTTTCATTCAAGCAGCCTGACGTCGCTATAGTAGGAAGAAATTGGAGGAGTCGCTTCAAGAAGACGAAAATCGATTGCAAGATGCATTAGCAAAAGATGGTAGCAGCTCCCCAAGTTTGGGTGCAACCATTTTTGTCTCGCGTTTCGCTGCTAATGCATTACGTGCTTTGCGGAGGAATAAGAAAAGAAAGTCGAGGATGCCGGAATGGATATCGTTTGTCCTGCTTCAAGAGCCCGCTGAACCTGATTTCACAGCTGAAGTTGAATAAATTATAAAGTATGTTATTAAGTTATACTACTTTCAGTTACTTGCAGATAAGTTTGACTAGCAAATCAATACATATTACATGCTTGTATTTTGTTTACTTGATTACGTCCAAAGAATAACGCAGTAGTTGTAGTACAGCTTTGGGACGATGATATGAGTTCATTGTAGCAGTTCAGGCCATGGATGTAGACAAGGCGATAGCTTTTTCGAACTGTGAAACAGAGGAGTGGGTGTGATGGATGATTCGACGGCGAGTAAACCTGTGATTGTCGAAATCGGGTGGTTGTGTATATAGTATAAGGGCAGTACGGTGCTAGCAGTTGGGGGAAGACATCGGAGTGGAGTTTGGGAAGACATCGGAGTTGCTACAGTCCGATGTAGGTAAGATAGTGACGACAGCTGTGAAAATGAAAACCGGACTTTGAAACAGAGGAGTCATGAGTGGGTCCAGTTTGTAGGTAAGATTGCTATGGCCGCGAAAACCGAACGTAGAAGAAGAGATTTTCAGATCCACTCTGGGAAGAAGAAAGAAAAAGCAAGGCAACAAATCAATATTCTAGAACCAAAAGGCACCCTAATATTTGATATTTCCAACGCCTCCCCCCACTGAAAAAACCAGTAGTTGAGCTGACCTAAAATTTGGCTTGAGCTGACCCAAATGGCTTGTGAACAATAGATAGAGCACTGCCTCTTTTATATGTAGTTAGATTAGATTAGCAAGTGATCGGAAATTATGATAATGGAAGTATTAGTCTTATATTTGATTTGGTTTGATTTATTTCTTTTCTGCTTAATTAGAAGATTCTATTATATAGTTCTTTTTTTTTTTTCTCAAATTTCATTTTCAACGTTTATATTTTCAGCGACAAAACTTTTGGTTATGTAATCGATATAAACCATAAATCGAGAAACTGTAAAAAATAATTTTCTACATATTTGTCAATTCTTGTAATTATTACAAGTTGGTCGAATTCTATTGTTATCTACACATTCAGTATAACTCAAAATTTTTATTCACTTTTTAACGACACATTCTTTGAAACCTACTAACTACTTATAAGCAATTATATGCTTTGACTATTTAACTATCATATTATCATTTTGATATATTAAATATGTGTGAAAGAACATGGCATTCACATATCTTAAGATCAGCAAATCCACTACCGGATTACGATAATTTTTGTCAAATAACTAAGTGCCAATTTGCAATAAATTTTACATAATTTGGGAACTAACCTTTCAAATGTTGAGCTGGATTTCGTCATTCAATAATAGAGTACCCAAGAAAAATTCAACGAAAATACAGCTTAGACACTTCATTTCTAATGAAGCTTCATCATAATGAATTAAGATATTTATGAGAATTGTCATATAAACCAACGTCATGCAGATGTAATTATAGGACAAGTCAATGAGAATAAAGTAATTATTATAATAAAAGAATTTGAGGTGGGTTATATATATATTATTTTCTATTGAATTTTATTTAGGGGAGAGATGATTTAAACTAATAATAAAATTTTTGAAACAAGGTAATAAAATAAGCATATTATTATTATTATTATTATTATTATTATTATTATTATTATTATTATTATTATTATTATTATTTTGATGAATTACAAAATTGTTGTCAATATAGGTTTACTTGTCCCATTTTTATGTAAGCACGTAGGAGTTTAAGATGTGCATAGAGACATGACGGTATTAGGTTTCATTAGTCGAAGGAGATCTGGCCAATCCTCATGCTTTGCTTGACGAACTTCATCAATGGAGACATCGTAAATTGATCCACGTGAATTGTGATAACAGTTACGTACAGCAAACAATGTTACAAAGTTTTATACAAACTTTATTTTTTGTCCTTTTTAGCTAAAATTTACTTGTCACGGTTTATTTTTCATTTAGCCCCTATTTGAGCACCATTTTTTCAAAATTTATTTTCAATCACACATTCTTCCACACTTTATAAGTAAATTCAAAACATTTTCTTATTTCTTAACCACTTATTCGTAATCGACTTAATAGCTGTACCAAACAAACTCTTAGACATGTTATGATTGTCAAGATTTGATGTTTGAATTATTACAAATGAGTTGAGTCTTTTCAGAAATAATGTCTAACTCTTAGGGTGTTGGGATAATTAGCCTCAAAAATTGCAATACGCAGATAATTAGGACTTCATTTTATCTTGAGACAAATTCCTTGAAACATATTTGTACAATTATAAATTTATAAATAATTTATTCAATTATACATTCTAATAAATTCGTAAGTGCTATCCATTATCTATACTCATTTTATCTCTTTAAAAACTAAATAAAAATTCTTGTCAGAAAAACGTACTAGAAAGTTTATAACAGCGAGGGACATCAGATCCATTGAGACCATCGTTTTTCATAAATCTCTATAGGCATAAGACGATGCACTAAGTACGCTATCCAAAAATTTGAACTAGACCTTGATCTTTTATAATGTCTACTTTAGCCCCTATTTGTCACCCATTATTTGACAAAATAAAGAGTGTTGAATAATATATAGTTAAAAAGTAAAGAAATTTTATTGGTTTGTGTGTAAAATATTTTATTATGTGAATGTATGTTGCAAAGTAATACTGTAACAAACAATTTAAAATTTTGAAGCCTGCCAAGAAAGCCCTTAGCGTTTTTAAAATTTCTTTCCGTACCAATAATTTCATTTTGAGTGTCTCTGACTTAAAAGCAATTAGTTAATGACAAGCAAGGTCCATAAAGAAACCTATTCGCTTTGCTTATATAAATGTAGCAAGCCTTGGCCTCAATTCCCAGTCAAAAGTCTTGAAGAAAAGCTCTTAACATGGCAACTGAAAATCAAGATCCTATTCAAATTGCAGCAGATAAGTATAGGTCTTTCTTGCACGAAGAAGCACAAAATACAGAGTGGAGACATGGTGGCCCTCCTATATACGATGATGTCAATAAATTGTTCGAAGAAGGCCGAACCAAGGTATTATATATATATCGATCTCTCTACGAGTAAACACATGTATACTGTGTGTATCTTGCTTTGTGTATTATGTGGAGTATGGATGGAGTCCATATTTGCTGTATCGAACTTGTCGTCCTCTTGAATATCTGTCAATACAATTTTGGGACATGGCAAAAATGTATTTAGAAGACAAGAAGTTTGGAACTATAGATCTCAACTCATATAGATGATGTTTTAATTATTTTTTTGTTATTTGGGCTATTTAGGAATGGCCTAAAGGATCACTTGAAGAGGTAGTTCAAAATGCTTTGAAGTCATGGGAAATGGAGTTGTCACACAAGACTCAAATTCAAGATTTCAGAACAATAAATCCTGAAAAATTCAAGCTCATCGTTAATGGTAAGATAAATGAGTACAAACTCTACTCCTTTTCTTTTCTAGTTATTTTGATTAATTCAATCTTAATTTTGTCAAAATTATGGTAAATAATCACTAGATAGATGAATATATTATTTTATTGAACAATTTCAGAAATATTCTTCGTATTACAAATTGTAAAATAGCCACTCTTCTTTTTAAAAATTACAGAAACTTCTTCCGAAGTTTGTTTTTCGCAATAGATTCAATAGAGAATGTTTCTACAATAGTTTATTACTATTGTAGGAGTATATCTCTATTTTCTGTAAACTATAATTGATATAAATAATCTAATGAGCATTGGTGCCTAGCTCATCTGATGAATAAGTTAATGGTAGATCTCATGAATTTAATGATTCGCCAATTAATTAGTATGCCATGATGTTGGTGCTTAACTCAATTTCCCATTAGATTATTTCTATTATAATTGGACCTATTTGCAAGCTGACTCAACTTTTCAAATTTCAATAAGCCCCCGTATGGCCCCAATTTTGGGGAAATGAAATGGGTGGAATATATTTTTTTGGAAAATGAGTAACACCAACATGTAATAGAATTAAAATTAACGGGGCCAAACAGGGGTTAAATGATAGTTTGACTTTGATTAATTGCATTAAAGACTTCCACTGCATTATTGCTGGATCTGTAACACCAACATATTGAAAATGATCATAAGCTAAATAGTGCCGCACTATATGTGAATGTGAGTTCACATATTAGAATTATATGCTGGTCGTAGGGATGGCAAAATGATATGGTCTCGTTCTGTCTCGCCTCGAGTTGTCCTGCTCTGTTGAGGAATCGGGACAAGGGCAGGACGAAAACATGGTTCCAACCCCTAACTCGCTCTGACTAGTAATTTTTTGTTTATTTTTCGTTTTATAATTTTTTTTTATTTTGTTGAAAAAATTCTGATTCAATCATATCTTACCAGTTACCACATCACCCCAATTCCCCAGCCCGTGCCCACCCAGTTCTTGCCTTGCCTAGTTGATTGTACGTCCTTTGACATGTTATCCCAAGAAAGTCACGTTACCTAATAATTAAACAAAATATTTATTGTCATCAAAGTTATTCAACTTTGAATTTCAAGACAACGCCTTACTCGAATCCCTAATAGAGCTTTAGATTATAAAAATTTGACTACACAATATTAAAATACAGGAAGAGAGGGCCTATCTGCAGAAGAGACGCTGAAAATGGGGAGTTACAATGCATTGTTAAAGAGTTCGATGCCAGAAGAATTCAAATATTACAAAGCAGATGAAGAGAGCTTCGAGTCATCCCACGATGCTTTTCGAGTGGCACTTCCCCGTGGCTTTGCATGGGAAGTTATAAGTGTTTATTCAGGTCCACCTGTGATTGCTTTTAAGTTTAGGCACTGGGGTTACTTTGAAGGTCCTTTTAAAGGACATGCTCCTACTGGAGAATTGGTTCAGTTTTATGGGATTGGAATTCTCAATGTTGATGAATCACTAAGAGCAGAAGATGTGGAGGTTTATTATGATCCAACTGAGCTTTTTGCAGGACTGCTTAAAGGGCCTTTAATTTCTGGTTCAGAGCGCACAGATTCTGCATCTTCTCATAAATGTCCATTTAATATGTAGAAATTAAATAATCATCCTACTATTGTACCAAGACGAAAATCTATTCAATGGACATCGATCTTATCAAATTTCTGGAAATGTGTTCTTGTAGAAATGCATGAATGTATGTAGTGTTTGATAGAGCTTACAAGTTACTCAAATTAACTTTTATATAATATTACTTACTATTAAACATAACTGTACAAGTTACATTTTCTTTTTACTTATAAATTAAATAAACTATATTTACATGAATGGTCTACTGAGCACTGGTGCCCATATTATGTTGAGCATCGATCACGTGTCGTATAAGAAAATTTATGGTGGGTCTCAACATAACATGTTATCGATGATTAACATAAAATAAGTACCAATACTCATTAAATCATTTCTTAAGCACCGATAACGTGTCATATTAACATAGATTCAATTGTTTTTCAAGTTACCCGGCAATTTTATGTGCATAATTTATTGAAATCATAATGAAAAGAATTGTGCATGCTTCATTGTTTTGTTCAAAATATAGGGGTATTTGATAGGTATTTTTATGTAAAAATGCAATTTAGAATAGTAAATTGATGTGAAATGTGTGGTTGAAAAATAAGGAAATGTTTTTGATTTACGTATAATATTATTTTAATAAAAAATGTGTGGTTGAAAAAAAATACATTTTGAAGAAAATAACTACCAAATGGGGCCATATAATTAGATGGATGGCCATCTATAATCGTTCTGTGGGGTCAAGCGTGCTAGGCAACTATCATGCCCTATTTAATTTGTTATTTAGGCCCCGTTTGGTAGCCATTTTTTTCAAAATGCATTTTTCTCTCTTTTCTTTTCAATCACACATTCTTTATTAAAATAATATTACACATAAATCAAAAACTTTTCCTTATTATCCAACCACACATTTCACATCAATTTACTATTTTAAAATACATTTTTACATAAAAATGCCTATCAAAAAATGCATTTTGAAAAAATGGCTACGAAAAATTGAATTCAATCACTAGAAAATGCCACTTTCTCCTCCCATTTATTGATTAATTGCTTGACAGACAATATATCATGTCATGAATAATCATTCATATTACAATCAATTTCTTCCACTTTTTCAGAGATGCATGTTTAGTATTTTTGACATGGTTGAGAGGTTTATTCAAGTGTTTATCGATGATTTTTTATTTGATTTATGGAGATTCTTTTGATGAATGTCTATGCCATCTGACTTTAGTTTTGTAGAGATGCAAGGAAAATAAATTAGTTTTAAATTGCGAAATGTCACTTTATGGTAAAACAAATTATCGTTCTTGGTCATATAATTTCCTGTCGAGGTATTGAAGTTGATAAGGGCAGGGTTGATCTTATATCCAATATTCTGCCGGCAAAATCAGTAGAAGTAAGATCTTTCCTTGAACATGCTAGCTTTCATAGATGATTTATTAAAGACTTGGGTAAATTCTCTAGATCCTTGTGCAATTTACTTGTTAAAGGTGTACCTTTTGACGTTAGTAAAAAAATTGCTTGACTTATATTCAGCATTATTCTTCGATATTTACATGTAAGGGTGAGCAAGGTACCATTTTTAACTAGCATCGCTCACTTTATAATGATTATTATGAGCCACAATACCAATTTGGAATTTATTGATTGGATTGATGAGTCATTTTCTTCAACTCGAGACTTAGTTAGAATTATTTTCTAATATAATATTTCATTTTACTTTGTAATGTTGTTTAATACACACGGTCCATAATATAAAATAAAGCATTAATTTATAATCTTTACCCATCGAAGAAATTTATCTATAGTTATGCAATTTACTTTCAGAAATTAACAATTATGAGACTTAGACTTGATACGCATATTTATTCAATACTAGACAATACAACTAATAAAGTTTGTTCACTAATGTCTAATAGAAGCTAGGACAGCACTTCAGGGATAAGATCAAAATCTTTTGTCAATACAACTAATAAAGTTTCAAATTCAGATTGTTCACTAATGTCTAATCGAAGCTAGGACAACACCACAAGGATAGGGTCAAAATCTTACCCCCATTGACAAAAGATTTTGAAGCTTGCTATATCCAAAGAGACACTTCACCAATTTCCTATACAAAAAACAAAAAAAAGGGGTTGAAAAAGACATTCAATGAAAAGAAAGCATCTTGGCCAAATGTAAACTCCAATTAAATTGTATACCAAATTCCTGTTGGTTGTGTGCATATAGGATATTTTGCTGTAATAAAATAATTATTTATAATAAATAAATTGTGATTTTATTTATTTATTGTATTATTTATTATTGATCATGCAAATTAAAATGCCTATAATCAATTGAGATAATATGAGTTGGGTACTTGCATTAAGAGGTACAGTATGACACAACTTATATTTTGATCATAAATAATTTTTTCATAACCAATGTCCAAGGATTGACACCTTTGTACTAGAAGATTGTAATGTTGATCAATTCACTATTCAGATTTGAGATTTGTCCTTATCACAAAAATAGTTGAAGGTGACACTAGTACACTTGGAGTGTATTGAACAGACCGCGTGTCAAATTTAATTCTATAGCATGACCGTTCGGAGAATTAAATTTCACTAGACTGCTGTGTATTTCATCTAAATCCATTGACAAGATTTTATATATCTCTTCATGATTTTAATGTTTCTGAGTGAGATCAATTTGATCGGCCAAATATCTCAATGAGTTGGGAACTTGAGAATGAGCGGATAGACAACATGAATTCATGTCGAGAACTGTCATCCTGAAAAATGGGTAGAGTGACTACTTATGTATTTTCTGTTGATCGGTTAAAATCTAAACTCAGTTTTTAGTGACAGCTAAACTTCGACATCTATGATTAGTTCACATGACCGTTGAAGAAAATGAAATTTAAGTTAGCGAGGATAATTAGAGGGGGGAAAAACGATCATTTATGCTCGTACATAATTATCGGATCTCAAATGGGGATAAAATATATTTACGACAGGTTAAAGGAAAGTATTACAGATTTATTGTCCTCTGTGATCTTATATATTCTGAAAGTTCAGTCTTTTGCCTTTTGTGGAAAAACAAAGACTAATAATTAGATTGGGTAAATTAGGGTTGACTAGTCATGATCTAATTATTGGAGCTTGGATGATATATATCCGATCAGGTCCCCGTGGTAACTTCATAAAGTATTGAAACTTAATTACGGTAATTATAATAGTTTTGAGCTTTGTAATTACAATAAAATTTTGTACTTGATTGTAATTACTACGAAAGTTGTAAACTTAATTATAATTGTAATTGAAATTCTAAGACTACAAATGTAATAAAATATAAATAAATTGGATTTTGACTTTAATTAAAACAACTACTTGGATTTTAATTAGAGCTCCTATTGGAATGTGAAATGATTATTGTATAAGAATTGAAACTCTTCGATCTCCATAAATAGAGATTAGATGGAACCTAGACATACTATGGAATTTTAATTTCTATTATAATTAAATTTACAACATGGGAAGTTATAAGTGTTTATTCAGGTCCACCTGTGATTGCTTTTGAGTTTAGGCATTGGGGTTACCTTGAAGTTCCCTTTAAAGGACATGCTTCTACTGGAGAATTGGTTCAGTTTTATGGGATTGGAATTCTCAATGTTGATGAATCACTGAGAGCAGAAGATGTGGAGGTTTATTATGATCCAACTGAGCTTTTTGCAGGACTGCTTAAAGGGCCTTTAATTTCTGGTTCAGAGCGCACAGATTCCGCATGTACTCATAAATGTCCATTTAATATGTAGAAATTAAATAATCATCCTAAAAAAGTTGAACCCCAACCTTAAGGGTCCCCATTGCCCCTACCCTAAAGCATCGTGAGGGAGGTAAATCGCAGGTTATACCTCCAAGGGTATAGGATAGAAGACTGCTTGTACACTTGCACTTACCCAAGAGTCAAATCCATATTTCAGGATTCGAACCCTTGACGCGACAGCCTCAAACAAAATTGGATTTCTCCACCCTCCTCTTTTACCACTTGGAAATGTGCCATGTGGGCAATCATCCTACTACTGTACCAAGACGAAAATCTATCCTTAATTCAATGGACATCGATCTTATCAAATTGGTGGAAATGCATGAATGTATAAAGTGTTTGATAAAGCTTACAAGTTCCTCAAATTAACTTTTAGATAATATTACTTACTATTAAACATACCCGAACAAGTTATGTTTTCTTTTTAATTATAAATTAAAAAAACTATATATATACACGAATGATCTATTAAGCACCGGTGCCCATATTATATTAAGGACCAATGACGTGTCATATAATTTCATCGACAGAAATTTATGGTGGATCTCAACACACACACACGCACAATATATATATATATATATATATATATATATATATATATATATTGTAACGTGTTATCGGTGCTTAACATGAGATAAGCACAAGTGCTCATTAAATCATTTTTTACCGATAACGTGGCATATTAATATGGATTCAATTGTTTTTCAAGTTACCCTGGCAATTTAATGTGCATAATTTATTGAAATCATAATGAAAAGAATTGTGCATGCTTCATTGTTTTGTTAAGAATATATAATTAGATGGATGGCCATCCTATAATCGTTCTGTGGGGTCAAGTGCCATGCTAGGCAACTATCTTGCCCTATTTAATTTGTTCTTTAGGCATGATTCATTGGTATAGGGGATGAGCATATTTTATTGTATATTTTGTATTGATTACCAAAAATTGAATTCAATCACTAGAAAATGCCACTTTCTTCTCCCATTTATTGATTAATTGCTTGATAGACTATATATCATGTCATGAATAATCATTCATATTACAATCAATATTTCCACTTTTTCAGAGATGCGTGTTTAGTATTTTTGACATGGTCGAGAGGTTTCTTCAAGTGTTTATCGATGATTTTTTATTTTATTTATGGAGATTCTTTTGATGAATGTCTATGCCATCTGTCTTTAGTTTTGTAGAGATGCAAGGAAAATAACTTAGTTTTAAATTGTGAAATGTCACTTTATGGTAAAACAAATTATACTTCTTGGTCATATAATTTCCAGTCGAGGTATTGAAGTTGATAAGGGCAGGGTTGATCTTATTTCCAATCTTCTGCCTCCAAAATCAGTAGAAGTAAGATATTTCCTTGGACATGCTAGTTTTTATAGAAGATTTATTAAAGACTTGAGAGTAAAATCTCTAGATCCTTGTGCAATTTACTTGTTAATGGTGTACCTTTTGACGTTAGTAAAAAAAATTGCTTGATTGCAGGCTATTTCGTTAGTTCGAGAGTTTACCAAGTACGCACTCGAAGGGTAGCAGCAGCAGGTTCCCCGTCATAAAAAAATAAAAATTGCTTGACTTATATCCAACATTATTCTTCGATCTTTACATATTGGGGTGAGTAAGGTACCATTTTTAACTAGCATCGCTCACTTCATAATGATTATTATGTGCCACAATACAAATTTGGAATAATTTATTTTATTTTATTTTGTGAGTGTGTGTGTGTGAGAGAGAGAGAGAGAGAGAGCCAAGCGGGGGCGAGGGGGGGGGGGATTATTCCTACCTGAGAAATATATGGAAATAACCTTTAGAAAATGGTCACTTTTCCAAAAATGACCTTTGATCAATTTACATACCAAAAATGCCCTCCATTTGGATATTACATAATAAGACACTATAATATAGAAATCATCTATTTCAGTCTTTAAAATTAAATATTTGTTGAAATTTGATAGTTTTTATTTGATTTATTTGATTAATATTTTTAATTTGATTTATTTGATTTTTGTTCGCTCTAAATAGCAAACTCCTTATTGGTATCAGAGCCATAGAGATCATGATATAACCTATAAAAAATAGATTATTTGAAGTAAAAATCTTTAGATTTAGATTAACACTTAGATTTTATATAAATTTAATAAATAAAAGATTAACTATTAGAAAATTAAAGGAATATTTATATTATACGTCTTTAAAATAATAATTGATTAATACACAAATATTTACATCCTGATAAAAGCATAGAGATCATGGAAATTAAAATAAGAAAAATAGATAATTATTGACGTTTAGAAGAAGAGAGATGTAATTATATATTTTTAAAACATATTCATAATAAATTAAAAATAATGATACTAACAATAATTAAAAAACTGCCTAAAGAAATAAAGGAACAAATATTAGAAAAATTAATAATAGAAACAATAAAAGATATATATACATATGAAAAAATTAATAATATTTATGAAGATGAAGAAAATAATTTATATTACAAGGACAAGTATGAGTGCAAGTAATAATACACATTTAAAATTGAATAAATTACTTATAAAAATGAAAAAAATACAAGAGGAAATACTAAATATAATGTTAATATCAGAAGGAATGAGAATATCAAATAATAGACAATTAATAAAATTAAAATGTGAAAGATTAAGATTTAAGAGTAGATATTTTACTACAGTAAAAGAAGAATTAGTAGATCCAGATACAGTTGAGAGAAGATTTGGAAAAATAATAGATAAAAAAGAAGATAAAAAATGCAAATTAACCTATGAGTTAGAAATAAGAAAAAATTAAGATGTCAATAAGTGAATATATGGAAGAATTAAAATCATTAATAAAAATGTTAATAAATAATGTACAAGATTTAAGAAATGAAGTAAAAGAAACAAGAAACGATATAAGTATATTAAAAATTGAAATTAGTGAATTAAAAAGAGATAATATTGGAATACCTAGAACTTTAGGTTCAAAAATAAAATTTTTATTTGAAAGACTTGCATATATATGTCAACAAAGACAATTAATGAAAAAATCAGAAAAATTAACTAAAATATGTTGTAAAGATATAGAAACCCCTGTGAAATGGAGATGTAATCCTGAAAGAAGAATTAATAAAAGAAAATATAAAAATAAAAAATTTAAGAAATTTAGGAATTTTAATAAAAAATATATAAGACCTAGAAGAAGATATTACAAAAGAAAAAATAACCCATATAATCAACAGAAGAATAAAAAGAAAAATAAAAACCAATGTAAATGTTGGAATTGTGGATAAATAGGTCATATAAACCCTGATTGTGATAAAAAGAAAGTTAGAATATTACAAAAAGAATATTTTGAAATAAAAGATGAATTAAATGAAATATCAGATATTAAAAAATACTATAATCACGAAATATACATAAGTGAAACAAATGATGAATCAGGATATGAATTGAGAAATTGAAAAAATAGAAAATAATAACATAAATATATAAGAACATGAAGGAATAGAAGGATATGTATTAAAAGTCACTTTGATAATAACAAGTTTAGAAATTTGCAAAAATTATTTTTAAACTTAAAAATAGGAAAATGAGAAGTATTTGATGGAATTTGGAAAAGAAAGAGAATCGCAATAAATGAATATTACAAAATAGAAAAATCATAGATGTAAGAACAACTTATAGACAATATAAATTAAATCTTTTAACAAAAAATACAGTTGAAGAACTATTAACAAAGATTAGTAAAAACGAAGTGAAAAAATTCAATATGTTTATTTAGCAAAAATACAAATAATGTTTAAATCACTATTTAGAGAAGGGATGGATTCACCCTTAAATATAACTTTACATGATGGAAAAATAATAGATTTAAAAGACAGTCATTTAGGAACAATAGAATAAAATTTAGCATATCAAAAAATTATGTTTACGTGTTATCCAAAATATTGTGTATCATTAAAAGATAAAAACTTTAATGAAGTTTTAGAACTACATTTTAATCTTCATAGAGATGATATCATGCAACCAGGTGATCAAATTATGAATATAGAATATAGAGCTTTATATACGTTTGCTAATTTTAATTATGGAAATATTTATTCCAATAAATCATGTATTGAAGTTCATAAATAATGTAAAGATATTAGTAAAATAATAGAATTAAATAAACAAATAAACTTAATTTCAGAAGAATATGAATTTAGTATAACAAAAAATAAACCTAAAATAACAGAATTAAATAAAGGAGAATGTTCTAATAATATTATATTTAAGGATGGAAAATTAATTAAAAGATCCAAAAGTTTAAAAATACCTAATAAAAATCAGTTAGAAGAAATCAACAAAATAAAAGAAGTAAAACTATATAAAAATAACTGGAGTTACTGGAGAAAGTACTCAAATAATTAATAGTGCTGATAAAGTTAATATAATTCCTGGAAGTAAACAAGTTACAATAAATAAAGTATATAAATATGATAAATTATAATGTGATATATTATTAGGAAATGATTTTATTCAACAATTTCAATATTGTAAATAAAATAATTATATGATAATGCTACAAACACCCTGTGGACACTTATTAAAAATCTCTAGAGAATTTAAACCTTATAGAGTTTAGTCAGCCCAGTGTGGTGATAAATAGGAGAAAAAATTAATTATATATAATGAAATAAAAAATAAAAGAATATTGTATAAAAAAGTTCTAAAAATAGGAATAGAAATGAATATAGAAAAAATAATTGAACAACTAAAAAAAGTTTATACAGAAAATCCATTATTATTTTGGAAACCACATCACCCACAAGCTAAAATAGAATTAACAGAAAATGTTATAATAAGAGTCAAACCAAAGATGTATACTATAGAAGATACACAAGAATTTAAAAATCAGATAAAAGAATTGTTAGAACAAAAACTTATTAAATCTAGTAATGGACCTCGTAGTAGTCTAACCTTTATG